GAGGAGGGGGTTCTCAGTAGGTTTTCAGAAGGTGGGTTGGAAGGTGTGGAAGTCTCATTGCCTCCACATGCCCTTTTATACCCTGCTAAGGGGCTGCTGTCCACACATGCAACATTCTTTTCTTGTTATTGTTTATGCTAGTAAATAGGTGATTATCAAATTAGGCAAGTTTCTTTTCCTGATTACATTCTCAGGTCAGATAGAAAACACTATTTCCCTTTCCTGGTGTGTTAGGATTCAGTGTCGACTCTCGTTGAATCATCTCCTAAGGGGCTTTCTAGTTATGATTTCTTCCAAGTGCACTGTCACCTGATATTCTCTGTATTCATGCTATATGTTTCCGTGTCATCTCATGGCACATCCTGCCTCCTAGGTATCATAGTCTTGCTTGTCAATGCTTCTCCTGACACCGGAGGATAAAGGTGCATTAGTCTGATGGCTCATTCTGAATGGGTCAAGTGGATACAGAAAGCTTGAATGTGAAAGACCACTGGCATGAGAACAGCAAGGCCATCAAGACATGTCCCTGTCCTCAGTGGCTCATATTGAAGGTTGCAGTGCTTAAATACAAAGAGACACATGAAGCACTTGGAGCTCCTGTGTCCTCATCACCATTCCCTGTGTGACCTAGAAAATAGACATCAGATATTAGAGATGCCGTCAAAGGCATAATATGTGCAGAATCTGCATCTCTCCCATGTCTACAGGACTTCTGAGTTCATCTCCACGAAAAGCAGATGGATCATGACAGGCTACAATGGATTACCCCAAGGCTTATCAATGGCAGCTGATATAATTCATATGTTCCTTGGGCCTACAGCCAATTCTGTCTCTGGTATGAGATGTGGAAAATATATGGGCCAACTGAGTCTTTCAAATGTCTGAGTGCACACGGGCAGAGGTGCATCCAGACCCTATAGAGCCTGAAATCTTATAAATTTACTCTCTTGACTCAGGACTGTGTTATTTCCCCTCTCACTCACTACATGTTTCAATGGAATGTTAGCCTCTGCATACCTACCAAACACCACATTGACTCACAATGTTGATGGCATCATTGTAGTCAGATCTGATGAAGAAACTAAGTACTCTGAATGCCTCAGTGAAACACATGTTCTACAGGAGATAGCAAGTAAATGTGACAAAGATCTGGAGGCTGCCACATTGGCTGTGCTTAAGACCAGAGACACCAGATACCTTGTCGGCAAGCTAGAGACTAACATGGCGCCCCCATAAAGCATCATCTCTTGAGGTCATTAGGTCTATCCATCTATGAACATAGTATATCTTTCCAAGTTCTGATGCTTTCTCTAACACTTCGGTGTTTTTCATGTTTATTGTGGACATCTTTCATACACTGGCTATGTTTATTCTTATGTAGTCTTTCTCAGGAGGTCATTGTGGATGGTCATGTTTTTCTGATGTCTTTCTCATCGTATTAATTGTTTGGGTTGATTTTTGGCCAAATTCTGCTTTTGTCCATGACTTGAATCTGAAATCCCCATGTATTAAATACTCTGTGTTCAGCTTGTGATGCTATTTTAAGTAGATGTAGTATAGGGTTGTCCTACTAAAGAGGGATTCTAATTTTGTTTTAGAGTGGAAGGTAAATTTGTACGTAGAGGACTTCTATATGGTTTTTCTGTATAATGATGCCAATTATTGTTGAATATTTTGTATATTTGCCTTTATACCATATCAGTCTTCTTTGAATTAATAGGTATTAGAGATTTGTAAATCTGTGGCGTTGAACTGAACCTAAATGGGTTATTGGCACTAATTACTAGGCATCTGCCATATACTCTTCACTCCCTTCTGGGACCAACTGGGACAAATCTGATCCTCAGCAACAAGACACAGTAGAACACTCACCACCAGGTGGTTAATCAGTGATGTCTCCAGAGAATATTTTTCAGAGATTCAGCAACATGGATAGGTAGCGAGGAAAGTTTTCAAAATTGAAATGAAGTCACACTGGGCGTGGAAGCACTTGCCCGTAATCTTCCATTTGGAAGCTGAAGCAAGAGGATGGTAAGTTTGAGGCTTCATGGAAGACAGTGTCTCAAACTGACAAGATGAAGTTATATGTGCTGGTTCTTCCGAAAGCCCAAAAGCAACCAAGAGGTAATGGAGAAATGGTTCTTACACACAGTAACCTGACACTAACTGAATGTTTTCCAACCTTGGCGCAAGTATTCTGCTTATTATATTTGTTTCAGACATAAGCATACTTCACTTGAAGATTGAGGTGTTGAAACAAAGAGTTGGCAGATGTAACCAGACTGTCTGACAGGAATAAATATATTACAAAGAGACACTTATGCTCCCCTCTTTGGTTATCATAATATTGAAAGGATGGACCCCAAGAAATTAGAATTTCCCTAGAAATCTCCTGTTGGGAGAAGAAACATCTGAGGGACTGGGGCCATCACGGGAGGAGTTTGCTTTCTGGAGAGAGAGTATACAAGTTTTTGAGACTGTATTGCAGGAAAAAAACACAACTTTCCCTGAACTGACATTTTAGGAAAGACTTGGAGCTGAGACAATTGTGGGCCAGGACAATGCTGGCCAGACTACTTAGTTAGGCATATATCTTGTTTCTATTTAAATCTTAGTCTCCTGTCAAGACTCTGAATGGACTTGGGTCATTTGATCTTATTGTTCCTGTTCCCAATGTGGCCAAATGGAATAATTGAATAAATCCTCTTTTTTTTTTTTTTGCTTTTTGCTATTAAAAAAAAAACATCCAAAGAACAAACAACCCAATTAATAAATGAATAAGTGAAGTGATCAATGATTTCTCAAAAGAAGAAATACAAGGGACCACTGATTGCTCTTCCAGAGGACCCAGGTTCAATTCCCAGCACCCACATGGCAGCTAACAATCATCCATAATACATGCAAGACAATACATGCATGCACATAAAATAAAACTAATAAAGAAAAATATTTTCTTTAAAAGAAGAAATACAAGGGACCACTGATTGCTCTTCCAGAGGACCCAGGTTCAATTCCCAGCACCCACATGGCAGCTAACAATCATCCATAATACATGCAAGACAATACATGCATGCACATAAAATAAAACTAATAAAGAAAAATATTTTCTTTAAAAGAAGAAATACAAATAGTCAATAAATACATTAAAATTTTGCAATCTTCAGCCATTATGGAAACACAAATCAAAGCTATACTGAGATTCCATTTTACCCTGAGCATTGAAAGAAAACAAACAGCATATGTTCAAGAGGATAAAAAGAAATAAAGGAACCCTTATACACTGTGGGTAATATGAATTTGTGCAGCCAATAGGTAAATAAGGATGGAGTTTCCTCAAGACTAAAATAAAGCTGCTGGGGATCTGACCATATTACTCCTGGGTCTATGCCTACAGGAATGAAAGGTATCTTCAATGACTGGGCCAGAAAGCTATCTCTATTGGTGCAGTAGTGACACTTTTATCTTGAGAGTAATCAACAGCTGTCAATTTGAATTAAGGCCAGCACAGTGGGGGTGGGGACTTGTGTGTGGTACTATAAACACAACCAAATACATGTGATTGGAGAGGTCATAGATCCTACAGAAAAATCTACTTTTGCCACATCCCTAGGCCAAAGTAATTTCTTACTTTACTCTAAATATTCATACTCATATTTACAGACAAGTGTACCTTTCACCCCTCATCAGAGAAGCTTCTTTATGCAACAGTTGGAGACTATTACAGAGTTTCAGATCTGGTCAAATGTAGAGAATGAATTTCTGTGAACACTAAACCCTAAGTGACATATCTTCAATGCAACTTCTACATGTAGGATGAATGTATCTCTCAGCTCTCCTCAGAGAAGGTTTCTTATGCAGCAGATGGCGATTTACAGAGAAACTCACAATTGGCCAATGTGTAGAGAACAAGAGACTACAGAGTGCTTATCACTCAGTAGGACCCGCCTCAGTCCTCTGCCTTCCAAGGTTCAGGGATTATTGTGGAAGAGGAGGCAGAAAGATTATAAGAGGCAGAGGGAGGTGGATGACCAGAAAGAAATAGAATCTTCCAGACAGCCGGTCAGTTATACTTATGAACTCACAGCAAAGGTACGGGCATGTGCAATTTTTATGTAAGCGCAAACCAGACAAAAGCCCAGCAAAGACATGGGGAAGAAATCCCAACTCAACCTAAGGAACTTTTAGCAATTGATGACTGCTGGGAGGGGAAGGGAGAGTGTCTTACGGGGATGGGACTCTTGGTGGGCTCAGTGGATAAACTCACACTGAAGGACACTTGGAGACACAAACAAGACTCTACAGGCCATATATGTATGCCTATGTTTATATGAATACATTAAATTCAGTGGGGGCCGGTGGGGAGAGGTGTGAAAAAGGGAAGGGATCTAAATACCATTACGCTATATTGTATGAAAGTCTCAAAAATTCAGTAAAAAATAAATTACAAAAATTAAATTAAATTTTAAAATATATACCTGAATATGATTTTTTAAAACAAATTTATTAAACGTTTGTACATTCCATACAACAGTTCTTAATCAAATTTAGACACTCCCCACCCATGCCCTTGAATCCCCCGACGTGACCTCGTGTATTCCACCATACATGTTAAGTCCTATCCAAGCCAAGTATTTGTACCCAGATGTCCTTCAGTACAAATTCATCCACTGGCGTCTAGTCAGCCTATCTAGAGATCCTAAGAAAGGCATCCTCTCCTTCACCGAGAACTGATCATACTTCAGTAATTCCCATTGTAGGGCTGGCCATTTCTCTCGCTTCACTTTGGGCCCTTGTCTGATTGAGTTGGCATAGTTCCTGTGCTCAATGCCACCCTACCACAAGTTCATATATGCAAGCTTCCAGTGGCCTGAAAGCCTCTGCTTCCCTATATTCATGAACCAGCACTGGCTCTTACAATCTTTCTGCCCCCTCTTCCACAAAGGTCCCTGAGCGGTAGGTGGGTGAGGTTTAATATAGGTTCTTATCCAAGGACACACACTCTTCAGCCTCTGATTCTTTAAATCTTCCCAGTTCTGGCCTTCTGTGTGCATTGTGCCCTGTTGTGTGAGGAAGCTTCACTGATGAGGGTTGGGGGATGCACTAGTTTTCTCTCTACCCCTCATTCCGCTATGTTCCATGTGCCTTAGGTGTAGAGGTTCTACTGTAGATGTGTCACCCAGGACTAGGCATCTCTCAGACATATGTTCTTGTGTCTACCAGTTGTGGGATTCTGCAGTAGCCTCCGTCTATTGCAAAAAGAAGCTCCTTTGATGTATTTGATGTATGGTGTGATTATCTGTAAATATAAGGCAATAATCAATAGCACCATAATTGAACTTAAAGACCTTTCAATTGGTGTGAACTCATGGGTGGCACTGTAAACACAGCCAAATACACATGGCTGGAGAGGACATAGATCCCAGAGAAAATTCTATCTTTGTCATATCTCTAGAAAAATGAAATTTCTTACAATATGCTGAATATTTATGATTTTTTGTAGCAATATTTACAGTGCAATCTTGGAATCAGCTTAGGTTCCTATCTATGTATTCATGGACACATAAGTTGTAACATATATACACAATGGAGAATTACTAAGCTACTAAAAATAAAGTCATGCCAGAAAATGAATGGAATTGGAGAGTATGAATTAAGCAAAATTTGCCAGAGAAACACAAGTGTCACGTTCTTTCATTCATATATGTGATATATGTGTTCATTTGTGTGTGTACACATACTTACATACACATAGATGGTATACATAGGTAAGGAAAAAGATCTGAAATGGGAAGGGGAAAGATATGAGAAGAGAAGTGAGAAAGGAGACAGGTAGAGAGGGGAGGAGAGGAGGAAATGTGTGAACAAATATGCAATACCTTCTCTGTAATATGAATATGTGATGCTATTCTACTATTCTCTAAAATTAATATATTACTGAAAATTAAACCTACAAAATATGGGAGACAACCAGCACAAACAAAACCGTGCAAAAGAGGAAGGAGGACAGAAGAGAACTCCTGAAATTTTACCATTTCAAGTGCTAAAAATTACCAGTGGAATGAAAATGCAAAGTTGACTCGATACCATGCAACCTACACCTACTGCATGGGAAACATGTTGAATGGAACCAATATTGAGACTATACGTATCTTTGTCCATGTGCCCTCAGGAGCAGTCACAGTACAGAAATTGGAAAGAAAGTAGTTCACAGGGGAAATGGTTGCATAATGTGTTCTAGGGACCTGGAGAAGTGACTGAGTGTGGGAGGGAGGCCAGCAGAGTGCTCTAAAGAGCAGGACAGCCCTGGAGGCAGCAGGGCTTCAAGCCTCTCTCACTGCCTCTGGGACAATGGATGCACACATGTGCATTCAAGGGGAAGCAAGCAACAGCATGCGCTCATCCCTCCCTCTCACAGCTTGAGCTGTGTCCCAGGGCTTCAACTCTCCTGCCCAAAGCTTCCTCTTCTATCAGAGAAAGTCTTCAGGAAGTGAGCTGAGTGTGCTCGGTCCCTGAAACCATCTCTGTGTGTTAGGAGAAGGGTGCAGAGGAAACGGAGCGGGCACCCTGATCTAGTGTGTTCTTAATTTAGAGAGGAGCACCAATGTGAGGAATGATGGACATTTGAGAAAGAGAAGAAAGCAGACACAATGGATTTATATTTTAGTAGCTGGAAAACTGAGGTTTATTAAGATATAGGAAAATCTCCATTTTTGAAACTGTGACAGACAGCAAAGGGTCCTGTGGGGTTAAGGAGAGTTTAGAGATTTCAGAGGAAATTCAAACTTGCATTCATTTCAGAGAAAGAGATAGTAAGCAGGCAGGAGTCGGGCTATATATTTGGAAGCCTAAACCAATTTCAGCTGGAGCAGAGGCTTTCGGATGGGCCTTTCAGGGTTCTGCTCCCAGATGGCCTCCATCAGGAATGTTGGTGGATGAAGAACAGGAGCCTGGGAGAGAGTGCTCAGCAGCAAGAAGCACTGGAGCATGCTGGGCGGCAGCAGGTGGTCCTGCAGCAGGTGGTCTGGCAGCAGATGGGGCGGCAGCAGGTGGAGATGCAGCACTGGGGCCTGCAGCAGCTGGACACAGAGCAGGAAGGACGGCAGCAGGGGGACTGGCAGCAGGAAGGTCTGCAGCAGCTAGAGATGCAGCAGGTGGGGCGGCAGCAGCTGGATCCACCACAGCTGGCACCACCACAGCAGGGGCGGCAGCAGCTGGAGATGCAGCAAGTGGGTCTGCAGCAGCTGGACACGCAGCAAGTGGGGCGGCAGCAGCTGGATCCACCACAGCTGGAACCACCACAGCAGGGGCGGCAGCAGCTGGAGATGCAGCAAGTGGGTCTGCAGCAGCTGGACACGCAGCAAGTGGGGCGGCAGCAGCTGGATCCACCACAGCTGGAACCACCACAGCAGGGGCGGCAGCAGCTGGAGATGCAGCAAGTGGGTCTGCAGCAGCTGGACACGCAGCAAGTGGGGCGGCAGCAGCTGGATCCACCACAGCTGGAACCACCACAGCAGGGGCGGCAGCAGCTGGAGATGCAGCACTGGGGCCTGCAGCAGCTGGACACACAGCAGCTGGGCTGGCAGGAGGTGGTCCTGCAGCAGGTGGGCTGGCAGCAGCTGGGCTGGCAGCAGCTCTCCTGGCAGCAGCCTTGGCCACAGCCCTGCTCAGAGCAGACAGAGCCACAACAGGAGCTGACCATGGTGTCAAAGGAGGAGGTGCTGAGTGGTTTTCAAGAAGGTTGTTTGGAAGGTTTGGAAGTCTCCCTGCTCCACATCCCCTTTTATACCCTGCTAAGGGGCTGCTGTCCTCACATGCAACATTCTTTTCCTGTTATTGTTTATGTTAATAAATAGGTGATTATGAAATTAGGCAAGTTTGTTTTCCTGGTTAAGTTTTCAAACATAATTTCCTTTCCTGATGTGTTAGGAACCATTGGCAGCTCTTATGGAACCACTTCCCACACATCTTTTGTGCTATAATTTCTTCTGAGAGGTGTCACATGTCATTGGGTGTCTCATTACATGCTTCGGTTTCATGTGTATAGTTTAACTGTCTGTGCTTAGGTAATCATGATTCTTATAGGCACATAATTGTTTCTTATGATGAAGGAGGATAAAGGTGCATTAATCTACTGGCTTATTCAGAATGGCTTAGGTAGGCACAGAAAATTTGATTGATGAAATGTTGATATCTCTCTCCTTTTTAATTTTTTTTCCTAGAAACAAACCTCTAAAAGTTATTTTTAGGCCCCCCATTATAATGGATTATCATGCTTAATAGCTCATAAAGCTCTGTCCTCTCAGTTCGGGCCTGTTGACCTATTTTCCTTCTGTCTTCCAACATGTCTTTCTCACTTCAGCACGTACAGCCAGATCCTCCCTTTCCCAGGACTTCCTTCACAAGTTCTTTAGGTAACTCAGTGGTATTGCTTTTTACTCTTATTTCAACCTAGATCTTCCTGCCTATACATATTGTGTGTGTGTGTGTGTGTGTGTGTGTGTGTGTGTGTGTGATAGTACATATACTTGTATATGTGGTATATACATTTATATCACATATAAATGAAAGGAGATTACTTTTGCAAAAGAGCAAATACTTAAACAACACAAAATGAGCACCCAATTAGCTAGGTGATTAATGTTTCAAAACTGAGGAGTGCTTCAGACCCTCTTTTGTCCTCTATTGGTCAAGAAACAGGCAGACGGTACCTATGTGATGACATCATTAAATATCTTAATTAAGACCTTTAATGACTGAGCCTTTTGTAATATTTTTGTTACACTAACTTGCTCAGCTAATACTTGGTTTACATGATTTTTCCTCATAGGCATGTGTTTGTAAAGCTTGAGAAATAAAAGACTTAAACCATTATGTGTCCTGAGTGAGAATTTTCCTGGATTTGCTTCCATAACAGGGGTAGAGGAAACAAATATACCTAAAAACACTTCTTAACTATTAGGGGAAGTGATTCTATATAAATTTTGGAAGATCATATGCAAAAATTCAATAAGAAATACACATTTGAGAAGTGAAAAAGGAGAGCTCATTTGAGCCTGGACTGAGTCCATTGATAGAGGACTTCCTAGCATGCTCGAGCTCTCGGTTTGAAACCCAGCACCACAAAATAAGCTAAAATATGTCTCTTTCCTCACTGAAATAGGTAGAGTACATTCTCCTTGTGGACCAGTATTCTGTCTCTAACCAGCGGTTCTCAGAGCTGGCTGTATGGCAGGGTTATCATCAGAGTGCTAAAAACTGTCAACTCCTAGCTCATGCCGAGGGTTTTCTTTAAATTAGTCTTAAAATTTGTAAAATGTTCCCAGATTATCCCAATGAGCCCCAAAGCTTGAGCATCTCTTCATTAAACTGCCATATCACGTGCACTTGTGTCAGTTGCAAGAGATACCATTAACTTTGAGTGCTATAGACTGAAGTGATGTTAAATCTCTTTATTGCTTTAGTTCACTCTAATGTCAACCCCAACATACCCACACTGATGAGACTGGACCAGCAGGGCATGGAGCTCAATGCAAAGTACTATGGAAAGCACACTGTTTTTGTTTTGTTTTGTTTTTTGTAAGACAAAAGCTGCCAAACAGGAGAGGCATAACTATGGTCCTTCTTGCTAAATTTTGCCCATTGTAAAACAAAATGGATACTCAACATCAGAGCCATGTATACAAATTGTATGCCATCTGTCCTGTCTATCCCTCCTTTATTACATAAAGTTTCCTGAACTATGTGTTGTATAACTGATATAGGGATCACAGTAAAAAAAAAAATAACAGTAAAAGGTTTCTCAATATGCAGTGATAAAAATTCATTCAGAATTAAATGCATAATCCATTAGAGGTGTTTCTGGCAGCCCTCACCTGTGTTGCATTGTGTATCCTCCCTGCAGCCTTGGTTATGAACACAGCACACACACTTTAAACTGCGTATTTTGTCATGAGATGCAACTCCAAGAAATGCTGCTCAAAATACCTCAGCTCCATTGAAGCCTTGTACACATGGCAAAATAGACAGTGAGGGTTAGCTGCACCTGATTCCTAATCCACAGAAACTTTGGGATAATAGTTGTGTTCTGTCGAAGCTGCTGCATTTTGAGGAAACATGACATAACACCAGATTGGTCCAGATTTATCTGGTCTCACATACTCATAGAAGTGGAAGAAAAAAATAAACAGTACAGAGAAATGGTATGTTACAATAAACATAAGCTCCCCCCAGTCTGCAATAGGCAGACTCTGCTCTCTGGGTGGCCTGGGTGACGGTTTGCTAAAGCATTAAGAAAGGAGCAGACAGTCACCAGCATCCCTGAGAAATTCATTAGGGCCTGTTCAGAGCTCGAGTAGAGCATACTGCTATGGATCTCATTTTCTCAGGAAGTTTGGACATAAGATCACAGAACAGCAGAACCAGATGAAACAACTGAATGCTAAGAATTGATATGGGTTAAATTATATGATGTGCATTATACTAGAAATGACAAAAGGAGCAGAGTGGTGTGTGATTCAGGTGTATCTGTGGATATTGATAAGAGAACCTGGGCCAGTAAGATGACTCAGTGAGTAAGGATACCTGCTGCCAAGCCTGACAACCTGAGTTGAGACCCACATGGTGGAAGGTGAGAACCTACTCCAGCAAGTTGTTCTCTGACTTCCATATGTGTTCTGTGGCATGTGCATGCAAATGCATATACACATACTCAAACACACACACACATACACACACACACACATGCACTTGTTTTTTATAACTTTTACAAAAACTTTGAGAATTTCATACATGCATATAAGGTGTTTTGATCAAATCCATGCCCCCTCCCTCCCCTCCAACATTCCCTCCTCTGAAGAGGTAACCCTAAAATCTTTTAAGGACTAGATACAAGCTCCCAAATACTTTTGACATTTTTGGCCTTTGGAACAGAGTATGTTGCTAACAGGCCCAAGGACATTTTGACTTTAACCAAGAAACTGGCTACATTTCTTTGGGGTCTTTTTACCCTAACTGCCTAGCCAATTCCTACCTCCTATTCTTATCACGCCATCCTCTGAAGGGGTTACCCAAATTGTTATTGGGAATAGGGACACCGACCACTCTGGCTTCTTCCATGCTGAACAGGGACTCAGGGTGAGTACCCCTTCAGTGGGTCTATCTAAAGACTCCCAAATTGCATAACTCTTGTCTCTAAGGGGAAAACAAAGTCATTGAATCATGAATAGGAGACATGAAGGAGAAGTAAAGACAAGATAATTAACATTACAAGTTCTAGACAGGGAACTAGAAAAAAATCAGAACAGGGCAATTTTCAAATGTTCATACGAGAGTCCATTGGAGTTTCTTGACAAGGGCTTCCAAAAGCATCCCTCTATTGGGTTATTCCTCATTTTTCTTTTGTCTTCCAAGGCTGGACTAGTTGGCTGGGAAGAGTGACTGGATACTCAGATGAGGGTGCAGTGACCGTGCTTGGCATTCCTTTAATGAATGAGCACAACTGTCAACAAGCCCAATTGCGACTATGTTTAGTGATCAGGCTCAGCTGAAGTTGTGATGATGGTAGTTATTTCATGCAGAAGGGACTGCTGTATAGCATCATTTTATTAAAAGGACCTGGAATTCAAAAGGATTTGGTGCTAGGAGCCACATATGAGGGAGAACATACATCATTTGTTTTTCTGAGTCTGTGTTACTTCACTTAGTATAACAGTTTCTAGATCCATCCATTTATCTGCAAATTTCATTATTTCATCTTTCTTTACTGTTGAATAGAACTCCATTTTGTAAATATACCACATTTCTGTTAACCACTTGTCAGTTGAGGGACACAGGTTTCTTCCATCTCTTAGCTATTGTGAAAAGAGCAGCAACAAACATGGATGTACACGTGTCTCTGCAATAGGATGAGTTCTTTGGGTATATGCCAAGGAGTGGTATAACTGGGTAAAATGGTAGGTTCATTTGTAGTTTTCTAAGAGTTCTCCATACGGCCTTCCATAGGGGATGAACCAGTTTGCAACCCCACCAGCAGTGGATGAGTGTTCCCCTTTCCCCACATCCCCTCCAACACTTGGCATCATTTATTCTCTTGATCTTAGCCA